AACGAAAAATGGAATCGCAGAATTCATTATGGTTTGATTAAATGTTAAAAGATGATGTATTTATTTTACGTTCATATAAAGATATCGATTATTTATTTTAAAAGCTTCTAAAATTAAAAATTAAGTGGCTATGTTTTCATATCGGTTAGAAATTTGTTGAGAATTCATTGTTTATGTTTGATATGTAAAAAATTAAAAGTAGGTAATGCTTAAGCGACCTTCATCAATAGTAAATTTTTGAAGAAAAAAGATGGTTTGTAGCTCGCTGATCCTTTTATCGCAATGGCACTTCACTTGGTTAACTTATTCATTTCCGACTATTAAAAATTTGCCTCCCATTGAGTGAGAACACCCACTTACGTACGTTTCCTCATGCTAACACTAAACTAACCCAAATACTAATTTTAATTACCCACTTTTGAGATGTCATTTCTGTATTTCTATATTTATTAAAGTTGATTGATTAGTTACACGATTTGTCACGTGAATAACATTCGCGCGTCGTCACTTCACGTTTTTCACGTTGAATTTTACAAATAAAAATAATAACGATAAACCTTCAAGTAAATACTAAAATAAATGGTCATTAAAAATGGACACACCAAGACGTAAAAGCAGGAAACCCAACAAATATTTAGATGAAGTTGGTGTTGTTGGAAGGTACATGTTACCCTCAACGTTATTACATTCAAAGTATTAGTTCTTGCATCATATCACTTTATTCAGAAAGTTTTCTTGAATAAACCTCAGAAAAACTGGTATAACGATTTCGGGGGATGTGACGAAAAATGCTGATGGCCTAGAGGACGTGGATGCTTTCTTCGAAGCAGCAAATTCTACGACAAAGATTGACGAAACCACAAATTCTTTAGCGACAAATATTGAGGAAGCCGTAAATTCTACAGCGATAAACATTGACGAAGCCACAAATTCTACAACGACAAACATTGACGAAGTTGCAAATTCTACAACGACAAACATTGAGGAAGTATCAATGTCTCTTGTCACAGATGGTGCGCGTCATTCAGCCTTTATCCTAACCAAAATCATAGATTTCTTTGATAAACAAATATTTTATCTCCGGAGTAGAAGAAATGTTACCGCTACTAACTAATTTGCCATCCAACATCAATTCAAATAGATTCTCCACAGGAAACATATTCGCCTCATAAAAATACGACTCCTTTAGAACCAGAACAACCATCACATAAAAATACATCCCTTTCAGAAACAGGACCACCTTCTAAAAAGAAGGATGGTGATAGGGTTGTACTGTATAGGCGTCGTACCAAAAAAAGTCCAACAATGACATTTAATCTTGGCAACTCTAGGGAGGATAACACCACTCATGATCAAAACGAAAGCTCGAGTGATAACAAAGGAAGAAAGTGTCATAGCTATATTGTTTTCACTCTTTATATTATGTAATTTGGCATAAAAGCTGAAATTGGTTGGTATTTTAGTACGAAGAAGTAAACGTCAACGTATCAAGCCTCTGGAATTCTGGAGAAACGAAAGAATTGTATATGGACCAACAAAAACAGGTATGTTAATATACTATATCGTATAGCGCTGTTTACGTACTGGGGTACTATTCAACTACGAATGCAATATTTTCTGAATAGTACCTATAAGTCATATTATTCAATCTATTGCAAGGTATGGCATTACCCCTGTATAGTGCCCCTCTCTTTACACGGTATCCCCGCGTACTATTCAAGCTAGTCTAAGGCTTTTTGAATAAGGACAGGGGTACTATGGGCAGTGCTATATGGTAGACATTTTGTTCGATTATGTTCGAGTTTTTTATGCTGAACGCGCCATTAATTAATTTTTATAGAAATTATTCGTATTCCTCGGCCAGACGATAATGAATCAGGTGTTAGACGAGATACAAAGAAACGAAAGAGGAGCAATAAAAAGACTACTCTTAAGAAAGGCGAATCGGAGGGTGAGAACATTGACGAAGCAGAATCTGCTGAAGGGCTTACTATCGATTGGGAGACTAAAGAAAAAGTTACACGGCGTAAGCTTTTTTATTTGAGTTTCTTTGTAATGAAAATATATTAATTTACCACTATATTTTTAGGCCTAATATATACCCTTTCAATGTATCAAACTGAAGCCATTGATAACGATGAATTTAAGTTCCAAAAAACTTTTTCGGAAGGTGATTTTTTTTCGGCAGGATTGATCGATATACCCAAAGGTC